CCAGTGTCAACATTCCGGTTCATGTTATAAAAGCACTGGGGCCGAACCCGGTACAAGAATTAAGGAATGCATTCAAAGACATCTGGAATAAATTTGGATTATTTAATTTTGCCCTCTTCTTTCTCAGGCCTACCTCATTGTCGGTTCCGTCACACCACAACCGACTTGCTCTTTTATACCATCCTACATTCATTATGGTATTTTACTTTGTACTATCATGAGCACCTAACACAAATATTTATATATTTATAGTTTGTATATTTTATCCTATTGCAACAATGTAATGTTTTGTGGACCCAGGACATACTTAAAAAAAGAGATAAATCTCAATGTATCCACCCTGGTAAAATATTTTATAAATAAACAAATATTGCCAAAACTGAAAAAATATATTGGTGTTTTTCTTTTATTTTTAGAATACATGAAAATTTATATATGTATAGGTTACGTCAAATTAAAGCCCTTTTTGTCCTCTAAAAAAAATGGTATATAATATGTGTCGGTACAATAAATGAGAGAGATACAAATTGCAGTTGAACACAAACTGCACAAAATGCAAAAATTGCTTGTGTACTTAAGGGTAGGTCCAGCTTCTGAAGCGATGTCCTGGAGGGGTTAAAACAATCTATTTTACATCCTACATCAACATGTAAAATATGCCAGAGCCAGATGTTGGGTGTGAGTACCTTGCTTTTCAAGAAGCAGCAGTGGATTGCCAGTATATTCTGCGACTAGCAGTCAGTGAATAAATTGGAAACTGTACTAACCTTATCTGCTTGCTATGTGTTCAGCCTAGATTACCATTTAAAAAAAAAAAAAAAATGATAACAAGTATGTTCAAAGTATGGACATGGTCACTTTTCATTAATCAAATATCATTGTCCCATAGTATGAAGGCACCAGGAAACCCTTACACATTACCCCTCTTGTTTCCAACTAAAGTCATGCTTAGAGGACCCTTGCATACAAAGAAGCATGATCTGATCTTCCTAAAACTGCTTATAGATAATATATAGGAAGCTGGAACAGAATGGTCACCATATTAAAAAGTCATAAGTGATATTTATATGTAGCATACATCAATACACTTTGGTTTCTCCTTCCCTGCCAAGTTCCAATTCTACATAGGGTGGTCTTATATATATATAACCTATATTTTGTATAAGAGCAGATTTTCAAACTATAAAGCACATCACATTATTCTAAATTACATTTAATCGCAAAAATAGCAAAGATTGCCAATTGAATAACCATTGTGAGTAGAAGATTTGGGGGAGGGCCATCAGAATATTTTACCGCACCTGCTGCAGAGACCTTGATAACATTTTCGTCTTTAATTAAAATCATTTTTTAAACGAAAGTTCATAAAGCTTATCAAAAAAGCATCCTGCAGAATACATCCCTTGCTACCTAATCAGTATATCCTGTTACTTTCTACTCTTCTCATGTCACTATGAAAGAAGTTCCTCATCTTGCCAGATGGCAAGGACAGACCATCAAAAGTAATATAGGTGTAAACAAACATAAATAAACACCATTGCAGAGTTATTTTTAAATGAAATGCTCCCTCTTTAAATTTAGGACGCACATCGAGGCAACTGCCGTTAGTTTGGTTGCCCTAACCTGGCATGATACCATTTGGTAATCCAAAATTCAGTCTTCTGCTGCCTCAAATTTAGTTATGCATACTGACCCGCAAAAAGCATGTTTGGAGAACACAACAGTTTTCTTTGGATTAAAGCGGTTACTACGAATGTAATTAAAGAGCTCTAGCAACTGTGCAAATATAGCAGGCTACTGCCAAAATCAGTGAAACTGGATTAAACAATTAAAAAGGTTGAAGGAGAATCTAGAGAAGATTAAACATACATATTAGAGAAAGGTAGAGATTAGCAACCATACTGCAGATACATACTGTGCGTAAGAGTGTTCTCTGCCCGATGCCTATTCTGCATATAAAGCCAGTGTACTCAAGTCTGGCTATATACACGTGTAGGAGTGCAAACACGTTTTACAACAAAACAGATAAGCATTTGTACTTTGTGCCCCAGGTAATAGGGGAAAAAGGCAGGGATCTTGCCTGTCACTGTACAGAAGGTGTGTTATGAAGGAGGTGTGTAATGTCAAGAAGCATTCCTTGTATAATATCCAAGTTCTCCGTTCATTGGAAGATAGATGCTGCAGTCTCACTGGGGACTGTGAACTGTAAATGCCAAATGGCTGAATAATCTCATGGATGTTTAATTCTCCAACAAGCAGTTCTGAATGCATAAAACTGCATATGTTGCCGCCCCCCCCAGACATGTATTCATCTAGTTGCAATGCCTGAATAATTTGGTCTATCTGCCCACATTACAGTGCTGTAATAGGTTTGCCTTTCTATTAAAATATTGCATTGCTAATTGCAGTCTTTAGAAGATTCTCAGAATAGCTTTTTGGATAAGAGGGCTAGGATCAAAATTATAGGCAGCAAAATTGACAGGATATCAGCCTCTTTACAGAATAATAGAACATGTAACTCACAAGGTAAAAGGTCAAATAGTTTAGGGAAAGCATGAAACCCAGGCTCTCACTTCAAAGAAAAACAAGGTTAACATGAAGATTTTAAAGAAATGTTAGGGTTATAAAATTGCCACATTTAAAATAGTTTTAGTAAAAGGTTGCTGTTTTATCAGAAAGTGGCAGCATTTAAAAATGAACTCAAAAAGCACCTGGTGATAGAGTTAAAGCAAAAGCGCTTTGATTAAACTAAAAACAAGCGTTTATCCTCTAAGCATTTTTCTAAGAAGCAATTACAACATTCTAATGAAAATATTACATAAAAAAAATAATAAACACCATAGTAAGAATTTTAAAGCTTAAAACGGACAATCAGCTGGAGAATAACATGCCACTGATGTCAAACAGAACACTTGTATTCTGGGGCTGTGTGAACAGACACCAGGTATAATATTTCTACTACCTCAGTAACTGGAAGAAAAAACCAGCAGTGTATGAAAGGTGTTTACGCTTCAAAATTGGCCTAAATGGGAACACAAAATAAACTTTTAACGTATGAACCTTTCAAAACCAATTATGTCTTCAATATAGATTATATATTACAGGTGACCAATAGGTCTCTGAAAAACTAAATTAGCATGTTAATTAGCAAAGGGTAAATAAATGTATTCATTTATTATTTTAGAATACTGTATACCAGTATACAGGGACGTTTAAGCCGCGAGGCAAACAAGGCATTTGCCTTGGGCGGCATTTTCCAGGGGGCGGCAAAAAAAGCCGCCCCCCCAAATGCCCAGGACAAATGCCTTGTTAGCCTTGCGGCTAACTGACATGCTGGGCGGCGCAGAGTGAGGCTGGGAGCCGGGTTGATGACGTCATATTCCGGCTCCCAGCCTCACTCTGCAACGCGTGAGGGAGCTGAGCAGACCGCTCAGAGGAAGAGCTTCCTCGACAGCCGCCCGCCCAGCAGCCACTGGACCCCAGGGAGAAAGACAAACCCCCACCCCTCAGCATTCCCAAAGGTAAGGAAGCTGGGGGTGGGGGTTAAATAAATAAAATATATTAATGTGAGTGTGTGTGTGTCTGTTAGTGAGTGTGAGTGTGTCTGTTCGTGAGTGTGACTGTTCGTGAGTGTGACTGTTCGTGAGTGTGACTGTTAGCTAGTGTGTAGAATATTGCATATTCTATGTTTCTATTGATTCTATATGGATGTGTGGATTGACATAAGTAACAGATGGTATAAGTCACAAGGCTTTCTGTGTCCGAGAGCTCTGGAATGTGGATGTGGGGGTCTTGTCCTTATATGGCTAGAGTTAAATACTGACGTTAGTATTAGCACATCTTTATAGTAACAGAGGGACACGAGGTCGCTCTCTCTTGGCTCTGTACAAGATGTAACCCTCCCATCAGAAGTACAGCAATTACCATCTGCTGTTGAATGTCCACTATCCTGTAACATCCTTTATTATGTTTTATTATGTATCCGTAACAAAGATTAAAAACATGAAGAAACCGTAAGTCAGATTGCGTATTACTACTTTTCAATAATATAGACATATATTATTGTGGCGAGCATTTGGGCCAAGAATATATATACAAAAGACGTATATATATCAATCAACTGAAGACAAGAAGAAATTAAGAGGATTCAACATTAACACCGTTCCAAAATTAGATTTTACATAGTGTATGCGTATCTGTCAGTGAATGTGTGTGTATATTTAGAAGGTTGGGTGGGGGTACCACGGGGGGGGGAGGGGGCGCCTGAGTTTTGTCCTGCCTAGGGCAGCACAAAACCAGGATACACCACTGCCGGTATACAGTGAGTGGAAAAAGTATTTGATCCCCTGCTGATTTTGAATGTTTGCCCACTGACAAAGAAATGACCAGTCTATCATTTTAATGGTAGGTGTATTTTAACAGTGAGTGACAGAACAAAAAAAACAAAAAAAATATCAAGAAAAAACAAAAATCAAGAAAAATGCATTTCAAAAAAATTATAAATTGATTTCAATGATAGACTGATCATTTCTTTTTCAGTGGGCAAACATTCAAAATCAGAAGGGATCAAATACTTTCTTCCCTCACTGTGTGTATGTGTGTGTAAATATATTGTAGAATATTGCATACAAGGTTTTCTTGTATAAGAACTCTGGAATGTGGATAGGGGTCTTGTCCTTATATGGCTAGAGTTATATTTTGATGTCAGTATGGGCACATCTATTATATTAACTGAAAAAAGGGACACAAGGTCTCTCTTTCTGCATTTTTTACTGTACAGCTATGTAATTCTCCCTTCAGGAGTCCAGCAATTACCATCTGATGTCATCCATGATCATGTAACATCCTTTGTTGTTTTATTATGTATCTGTAACTAAGAATAAATCATAAGAAACCGTAAGTCAGATTGAGTATTAGTATTATTGGTTAATAGTGATGTCCCGAACGGTTCGCCACGGACTCATCATTGAGTAAACTTTGACCCTGTACCTCACAGTCAGCAGACACATTCCAGCCAATCAGCAGCAGACCCTCCCTCCCAGACCCTCCCACCTCCTGGACAGCTCACTAAGAATGCAGCTTCAAAATGGATGCTGTCCAGGAGGTGGGAGGGTTTGGGAGGGAGGGTCTGCTGCTGATTGGCTGGAATGTGTCTGCTGACTGTGAGGTACAGGGTCAAAGTTTACTCAGTGATGAGTCCGCGGCGAACCGTTCGCCACATCACTATTGGTTAATATAGATTTATATTAACATGGCGAGCCTTTTACCCAAGAAGAAATATACATAAAAGACTTATTTCAATCAACCTGGAAAAAGACAAAGAAGAAGCGGAATACATATATATATATACACATATATATATATATACATATATATATATTACAATGTTAAACAAAAATCTGCACGCCAGTCTTGCTTTTCTCACAGAAATAAGATATACATAAATATATACACATGTTAAAGGACCACTATAGTGCCAGGAAAACACTATAAAATCTGGAGGAGAGCTCCAGCGCCGGGCAGGGAGCTCTCCTCCTCCTCTCCTCCACTTTGGCTGAATGCGCAGGCATTCCTATGGACGCTGGCATCTTCTCACTGTGAAAATGAGAGCCACTAGAGGCTGAATTAACCCATTTATAAACATAGCAGTTTCTCTGAAACTGCTTTGTTAAAAAAAAAAAAAAAAAGGTTAACCCTAGCTGGACCTGGCACCCAGACCACTTCATAAAGCTGAAGTGGTCTGGGTGCATATAGTGGTCCTTTAAGGCCTTGGCCTGTAGTTGTGGGAGGGGCTTGAATCCCCTACAAAAGGGCTGCCAATCCTCCCGTTGGTCTGGCGAGTCTGAAACGATTACTTCCGGTTAAAACCGCCATCTTACGGTTTACGGTTTATGTATTCCTCGTGGTCTCCTGGTCCGGTACTATCTAACCTCTTCCAACCGGTCGCTCCGGTGTCCGCGCAGCCTGTTCTCGGCACTAATAGTTGCTCCAAAACTGTAAGTCTGGCCCCTACCGTAAAGTAACGGCCGCAAACCTTGCTCGCTTTCACAGTGGGGGTTCTGTTCGTTTAAACTGTGCGTTCGGTTTATACATCCAGGCTTATGACACTCACGCCGTTCGGCTCAATTTTCTTATTAATATTTCTAACGTACGCATGTTCACATAAGCAATCGTACAAACGCGACCGTTCGTATATATATTACATTTGGTTGGTTTATAGACATGATCTGAACGGCTCATAGGGGATATATTTCATTCGAATGACTTAGGTTCTACAAACATATCCCTCTTTTCTTTCGGTAGTTGTAGCCAGACATGTCTAAATGCACAAATCTCACCTAATTTTCCTAATATAAACATTGTGCCCCTAGTGGTAATGGATATTACAGTCATTTATGTTCCATCAAATTGGTTAAAGTACAGGTGATGGAAGTCTGGATTGTTTTAGAGGATATTCCTGACCTTTTTTGCACAGGTCCATATAAGGAATTTCGTGCTTACCGATTTCTAACAATTGTTTTTTACTGACAACTGTGTCAAAAAATATTTGCTTTCTAGGTTGGTTGGAAATGTAATTGTTAATTTTATTCTATTGGCTAAAGCTACGTGGTAATTTAGTAAGCATGTAACAATTTACTTTTCTTAGGTTCCTGAACTTTCAGACGGTAGCTTTACAAGCACGATAAACCAGTTATCATTCTTTGTCTTATTACTACCATCAGCATAGTGTCTGGTTGGTTCTTTTAATTTCGGGCCCACGATCTGGCCAGCTAATACTATACAAACAGATACTTCTGTCATATTCATGTCTATAGGTCTCAGCATGGTTCTATTACCACCCGCTAATAATATCTCTGCATAGACAACTCGTCCTGACTCAACATATCAGATACTACGCCAGAACCCAGTACCTTTATAGTTTTAGAGTGGTACTGGTTATAGGTTTAGACGGTCCAACTAGGAACTACTTTTCGGTCTTAATCCATAGGCTAGTGGTCCCACGAGGCCAACACCCATCCTCATACTCAGAGGTATAAGCCCCTCGGGCCAAATCATAGTCGCCTTGCATGGTCACATAGAGAGGGCCTCCATTGTCACTCCCATTTTATCTTATATGCTTTATCACCGAGATAACCAACATCCTGCCACAACGTTTGGTGGCCTCATATTTTTCACCTCGGGCCAACGCACAGATAGAGCCTCTCACGCCGCTTTGCAATTAGCAGGGTCTCATCTGTCGCTTCTCAAAGCATAATTGTTTCGCCGCTTGGTATCTAGCTAGCCTCGCCAGTACCCGTCCCCATCATTTTTATTGGTTAATATAGATTTATATTAACATGGCGAGCCTTTTACCCAAGAAGAAATATACATAAAAGACTTATTTCAATCAACCTGGAAAAAGACAAAGAAGAAGCGGAATACACATATATATATATATATATACACATACACACACACACCTATATATATATATAGTTGCTTTATATTTTCAGTTATGTCACAAGTTCCGGATATCCCTGAGAAGCTGTCACTACCCAGCACACCTGCTAGGCCCGGTACTCCAGGCCCAGGAACTGATGCTAATAGTCCTTCTTCCCTGAGATCATGGACCATCCCACGTCTCACAGCAGAATTGAGAAGGCGATGCATCCCTTTCCCAGCTACCGCTAGGAAAGCTGAATTATACAGACTCTTAAATACAAACACCGATAACTCTGATGCTGGGAAAGTGGGTCTCAGTTGCTGGCTTTTCGTGCGATGATGACATCATTAATGTCATCAGCATCATCCGTGATAGACTGGAAAAGTTGGAGGCAGTTTGTTCCCCCCAGGTCTCCGCAAACCCAACTATTTCCCAACCATTGATGTTATGCCCGGTAATTCCCTGGCAGCAATTACAGTCCCTGAATGTATCAACCCCTCGCATATGGTCCCATCTCACCTTAAAAAGGACATCCTGGAAGGCAAGGACGTTAATCTAGTGTCACTGGTTATTGCCTCCCATGATGTTCTTGAGAATAGGACTTTTGCCTACAGGGATATTTCTGTGGTTTTAAGGGCAAGGGATCCCTGTTTAAACAATAAACTGTCCATCCCGGAATTTGTACTAGGTTTTGGCATTTATAGGGACGTCTACTGTTCGGTATATCCAGAGAAAAGATAAGAGTTAGACGTATATATGCACAAGATGGTGGATCTGGGGCACAAATACGTTGGTACCTCTTTTTACCATTACCACCGTTCCTTCTTTGCAAAGGTGGCTGCAGCTCTGACTCAGTTCAATTTCAGCGTAAATTGGAGCAAGCTGGACACAGTTATTCTGCAGACACTTTGCAGGCCTCAGACCCCCAGCTTGTGCAGTGTGTGTATCCACAGCACATAGCACCAATTTCTGCCCCAACACGGCGGAAACTGAACAGGGCCAATTTGTCCCTAATTTCCAAAGACCTACCAGAAGGATAAACTGAGTAGGGACATTGTGTTCCTAGACAAATCGCAAATTTGTAATAATTTGAATGCGGTTAATTGTGGTTTTAGCTCCTGTAGACTAATGCACGTGTGTTCCCACTGTTTCAGGGCTCATTCCAAGACAATGTGCCCAAATAAAGTTTTCCTTCACTGTTACAACAACACCCATCACACCATTTCGTTGATTACATTGTCACTGGACTATCTGAAGGGATTCGCACCGGGCTGGTACACTTGCCAACGGGTACACTAAAATGTGAAAATTTACAATCCACGTTAGAGGATCCACAGTTAGTACATACACTCATTAGGTCAGAGGTAGAACAAGGGTTTTTGTTGGGTCCTTTCGTTTCCCCACCCTTCACATCTTGGAAAACCAACCCCATAGGTTTTGTCACGGGAAAAACCTCACTCAATAGATTTATCAGCACCACATTCCTGCACTATCCCCAGCCTTAATTCACTCGTACCTTCTGAAGAATTATCATTACAGTATGCCACTATCGATAATGCCATAGGGGCCATTTTAACAGCTGGTACAGGTGCATGGCTTAGTAAAACTGACATAGTAAATGCGTTCGAATTACTTACCAGGCACTCTTCCCTATGGCATCTACATGGCATTAAATGGCAGGGGTTGTATTATGTTTTTCACACTGCTCACTTTTGGCTCCAAGAGCAGCCCAAAAATGTTTGACACATTTGCCGAATCGTTGTGTTGGTTGTTGCTTAATGTGTGTAGATGGCCAGTAGTTATTCACTACCTAGATTTCCTCACAATTGAAAATGACACACTCCCTCCAAGTAGCCGGACACACATGTTGGCTCTGTTTGAATCCCTCACTATCCCTGTCTCCCCTCACAAAACGTTAGGACCAAACACTAGCGTGCAATTTCTGGGGATCCAATTGGACTCTATCCATATGCAAACTAGCCTCCTACAGGATAAGATTAAGCGCACCCTGGCAAGCATTGAACACTATTTACTACAAGGTTATTGCAACCGGAAGGAACTTCAATCGCTGCTGGAGTTGCTCAATTTTGCCATGAGGATCATACCACATGGTAGATCCTTTATTTCTCATTTACTATCTTTGTCTCCACAATTTACATCAGACACTTCACGTATCAATTTAGATAATCACGCAACCTCTGATTTACGTATGTGGCGGGTTTTTCTCACATCTTGGAATGGGCGAGCCATGTTTATACCCCCCTCTCTGACATTTCACCTACACTATGGACAGATGCCGCAGCAAACTCCGGTTTTGCGGCCATCTGGGGAGACCAATGGCTCTGGGGACCCTGGCCGTCAGAAGTTAAATCCCTGCCCAGATTCGTTCTGGGCAGGGATTTAACTTCTGACGGCCAGGGTCCCCAGAGCCATTGGTCTCCCCAGATGGCCGCAAAACCAGCTTTGTTTGAGTTATACCCAATGGTGGCCGCTGCCATTGCCTGGGGACCAAATTGGTCCGGTCACACGGTCAGGTGTTACTCAGACAATTTAGCCACTTGTCATATTGTAAATAAAGGCCGGTCTTCATCTCTGGTCATCATGAGATTGTTGAGACGACTCACATGGGTAGCAGCCACTTGTCAATTCTTCATCACCTGTATACATGTTCCAGGATGCACAAACATCTCAGCTGACCACTTGTCTCTGCTTCGTTTTCAGCATTTCTTCCTGA